TTCAAGCTAAATGGGACGGCCCGTACCGGATTGTGACCAGGATCAACGATGTAACCTACCGGATACAGAAAGGTGCAAGAGGGACTCCTAAGACCGTCCATGTGGATCGCCTGGCGCGTTATTATGGGGCCGATAACGCTCGGGACGAGCATGTCTTAGGAGGGGGCAGTGTTGCGCGGCTAAGTTGACATCTGGCACTAGCGTCATCTAGTGTCGGGTAACAGAGCGAGGAGAGAGCTTTCCAGAAAATGACATTACTAATCTTTCAACCGACAGCGCCATCTGTTGTCGAAACGAAGAACAGCTTCTAGAAGCTGAGACTCGAACTTTCGGCGCTTTGTCGATTGGTGCGCGTATTTACTTGAATGTTCTGGATGTTTCGGTACTAATGTGTATTTATAGGCACTGCAAGGTGTGATCGGGGAAGTATTGAGTTTGGCGAGACAAGCGAAGCTTCGGAACGGAATAAAGTGAATCAGTGTGCTTAATTATTAGTGTTTTAAGTTTTAATTTGTGTAAAGAAAATTAAAGTGTTAATTTAGGTAATTCTATCGGCAATTTTTAATTGTCACGAACCTCAAGCTCGTAACTTTATGTGTCAAAAGATTGACTATCCTGAAATTTGATATTATTTATAAGTGGATTGATATTATAATCCACCTGGCCACAGTAGGGTTAATTTTATGTTTTTCAAAATTGATGTGCGATGTGATAGCGGATTGATATCGATATTTTTTATTAGTTATTAAAGAAGCATCAAAATTTAATTAATTAACTTAATCACTTAGCTAAAGAAGAATGTTATTGAGTAGATTCCGTTATTTTGTATTATAATAAAAGTGTAAATGAACGATTTCTTATAGCATAATAAAATATTTAACAATAACGATCAGGAAAACCTTAGTTAGTACTTTTAAATTATTGCGATACCGTTTATGGCCCATGACTGCATGAAAAAAAAACAAAAAAGGCAATTCAACTCGTTCAAAACGTATGTATTCTTTGCTTTAACGTCCCAAAGAGAGCCCATATTACGCCACATCTTAATGAAAACAATATTTTAAAAATAGACGCACGTAGAAAACTCTACTTGGTTTATTTAGTTCGCAAAATTATTAGTAATGTAACGAGCTTGGGGTTCGTGACAATAAAAACGTTCGATTGAATTACCAAATTTGACACTTTAATTACTAAACACTAATTCAAACTTAAATCACATTAATAATTAATCACACTTAATACTTTAGTTCACTTTATTTCGCTCCAAATGCTTCGCTCGTATCGCCAATTTAATACTGCACCAATCACGACTTTTAACGGCTTTATATAGGCTTTTTCTGACTACCGCTACTGGGCGGTGCCGTTAGCCGCACTACTCCCTCGAGATCGATCACCTTTACTTTCTACAGTTGGTTTAGACAGCTGGATCGAAGATGGACCCTTTCTTCACACCTATAGCACCTAGGGCTGTATCTATTATTGCGGTCACGAACTGTAGCTGCTGCAACCTCCCTGACGCGATGGGAACGATGATCCTGCCACACGGCTTCAACCTTAAGTGCATGGGCCAAGGCTTCCTTAAGCGTCACGTGGTGCCCGAGCCTCAAAGCAGCTCTGACTTCAAGGTCGCGGATGCCGTCGATGAATATATGCACTAGTTTCCCATCAATGAGCGCAGGTATAGATCGGTATACTTTTTGAACCAGTTTCTCCACCGCAAGGGCCCACTGCTGCAGATTTTCATTGATGCACGCGATCTTTAAGCTGCGCATGAAAGACGTGTTCTAGGTGAGCGTCGCCATATCTAGCCTCCAATGCCTCAAGGAGCTGCTCGTAAGTCACTTCCTTACCGAGGGCTTCTAGAACAGTTAAGGCCCGGTCACGGTACCGGAGAGCATTCATGGCCCGACTTTTATTCCAACCGTTCGCTTTCATGACAGCCTCGAACTGGAGTTTGTAGGCTGACCAGGAAGAAGTCCCGTCGAACGGCGGCACTTTGAGTCTACGTATCAAAGGTATTTTGGCTACCACGGGAGCTGTAATTCCATTCCCAAGTTTGAGGTCGTTCAGCGTTTTCTTCACGTCAGCCATCACGTTGTCAACCCGATTGTTCACATGTTTGATTCGGGATTCAGCTTCCGACAGGCGGTTGTCATGTTGAGCAACCCTATCCTTCACCTTCCTTATCTCTTTCCCTAGAACAGAATAGAAATAATAATACATAAGTAGCGTGATGGTCCTTCATGAGGAACATCTGCTCTTCCAACCGATGGACCTGTTCCTCCTGTCGGCGGGCCTGCTCCTGCAGCATCACAATCAGAGCACCTAAGTCAGGTGCTGCAGATGTAGGAGCTGTTGACAGGCTGGCCTCTGTGGCTGGCAACTGGCTCTCAGACGTCTGTCGCGTTACACCACCAAATCGTCTCTGGTCCGTCTCCTGCTGGCGTTGACTTCGGGTACGGACACCCTACGTGTCGTCCTTCGGTAAAATCGGCATGATTTTATCCCAATTTTGACACTAATTGTTACGAGTTTAAGGTTCGTGGCAATAAAAACTGCCGATTGAATTACCAAATTTGACACTTTAATTACTGAACACTAATTTAAACTTAAATCAAACTAATAATTAATCACACTTAACACTTTAGTTCACTTTATTTCGCTCCGAAAGCTTCGCTCGTATCGCCAATTCAATACTGCCCCGATCGCGGCTTTCAACGGCTTTATACAGGTCTTTTCCACCGAAACATCCAGAATATTCCAGAAAATACCGGCCCCGACCGACCAGTTGCAGAAATTTCAAGTATGGGGCTTTCTAGAAAGATTAGTTCCTGTGTTCAATAATAGATGGTGCTAGTGCCATCAACTGTGGCGCGCAACATTAACAAAAGTCCACTTTATTTATACAATAAATTAGATTTGAGGAAGAATTTTCATGAAGTATATACAAGTAGAAGAGCCTCAAATATGCTGAATATTCTACGCCATAAGACAATGAACTTTAAAAGATGTTTTAAATATTCGGCCGCAAAAATATGGAATGATTTGCTACCGCCTTAAAAACATTTTTATATTGCGTTTGCAACATTTTTTTTAAAGAGTCATGTCATATACAAGTCTTTTTAGGCCGAATGACTATGCTTATTGTATAATAATTTTTTATTTAATGTCTTTTAATTTTATACAACATACACAATATAAACTGTAATAAGGGTTACCACTAATACATAACAATAATTAAATATTAATTACGATGTGTGTGCGAAAATATACCCAAAACAGCAGAGACTGGCTGAAAATCAGTGCTGAGCATAATGCCCAGCGAATACTGAGCCTGTTCCGGTTGCCTCACTTTATAGTCGTATATTTAGTAATAGTAGTTAATTTGTTAATTGTCAATGTTTTTTTATTGAGTTTTTCTAAGTCTATACTTATGTGTATACTTATTTTGTTTTAGAAAGAAAGAAATGCATTTTATTCTAGTTTAAGTACGCAGCACAACAAGTAAAAAGTAATAAAATACCAAAACATTGATAAAACTAATTTAAACGTAATAATAATTTAACAACATTATAAATTTAAGATAAAACATTTAAAAATAACCTGTGTGCAGCATGAAACTTCAAAACGGACCGGACTCAGTGATAACACTGGTTTTCTGTCCAGAGGCAGCTCGGGTGGCTGAGTGCACGCTCGCGCTTGATGTCCGAAAATTTATAATAAACAATATACATATAGATATGCATACCCGCATTCATACATAATTGGACTGACAGAAGAATTAGCAGATTACATTTTTTTACATTGCTAGTAAATTCATTCAACGTTAAATTAATAAAAAATTGCTACATTCAGTTTAAAGATCTTTATTTACTCATTAGGACTAATGTCACTTACATGAGTATATTCATACAATTTAAAATAAATCACACAGAACAAAATAATAAAATAGTAAACATAAATTAGGGTAGATCAAAGTTAAATAGAAGTTGCAAGTTAACTGCATAAGAGCAATGTTTCAAGTATTGATTATATATGACGGTGGTCCAAGTTATATAATGTCTTGTTTTTTAATGTGGCCTAATAATTTTTTCTTGAAAATATTGAGCGAACTTGAATCTTTTATAGTTAAAGGGAGTTTATTATACAACTGTGCTCCCGCAAATATTATGGCATTTTTTCCATAATTAGTGCGAATATTTGGTAATACAAGATGGTTTGCGCGGCGTGATGAGTAGTCCTTACAATCTGGTATCTATTTATTTTCAGTGCAAGATTTTAACATCTAGAGTGCCGCGTCAGTTACACCAATACTTTCTAATTTTTTTTAGTAGCAACGAGTGACTCACTGTGTCAGGCCAATTTTAAGTCAATGAACACACATAGTGCTAGCTGCTTTTGGTCCATTTTAGTTTTTATTTTAGTAGTTAAGTCAATAGCTGCACTAAGAGTATTTTATTTTGAACGGAAGCCGTATTTTTGTTTATACATCAATTTTATTTTAGTCAAGTGGTCATTCAGTCGTTCGTAGATTATTTTCTCCAGAATTTTTGAAAGCACTGGCAAAATCGACACAGGCTGATAGTTTCCTGTATTTGTCTTTATACCAGATTTATAGATCGGACTGACCTTAGCTATTTTTAGACTATCTGGGAATATAACTTTTATTAAGACAGTCAGTGAGATTGGGAATAATAAGATTTTTAATACACTTAATTGCTTTTGTAATAATGGAGTCAATACCTGTACTAGTGTTAGTTTCCAGACCATCGATAATATTAGCTATCTCATATTTATCACATTGTTTGATGACTAAGAGTTTAATTTGGCTTGTGTCCGATTTTAGTTTTGGCAATGTCTATGTATCGTTGTTATGATAATTGGGCGTTATTTTGTTTGCCAGGTGCGTACTAATATTTAAGGAAAACTCATTGAACAACTCACAGATAGCTATAGGATCTTTATTTACTAAGCCGTTATCCGTTTTAAGATTTGGTGGATTACAGCTTATAATAGTTATATCTGCTCTTCGAAGTCTTGATAAGTTTCGCCACTTTTGCCTTTTCATTAGTATATTCTGACTTTAGTTCAATATTTTCAGTGTATAACTTTAGTTCACTCGACAGTTGATACCTCTTTTTGATCCCCATTATGATTTCTTTACTAACCCGTTTCTTCTGAGGTCAATTAACAATTTTATATTTTATTTCTTTGCTTTTTGATAAATTTTTCTTTATAAATTCTTCTAGAGCTCAAAAATTACAGTCTTCATTTTCAAGCTCATCTTTTCTGGTGCGCTTGTATAAAATTTCATAGTTAAGAACTTCGTATCGTAAATTTTGCATTTGTGGTGGTTTCACTTTTTTTATTTCAACATAGAGATTTTTATGGTCTGAAAAATAAGATTCAATAATAGCCATATGAAATTTCTGGTTGGTAATATTTGCAGCAATATGATGAATAATAGTTCTCTATGTTTGTGACACACGGGTGCTGTGTAGTGCATCAATATTGTTAATTATTTTGAAACCTGTTTCCTTTAGTAGATCATTATACAGCGTAGTCTTAGTATCGGATACCAAAAAAATCTATATTCGTATCACCAAGGACAATTGCTCTTTTACTTTGCTGCAGTTGTATTTGATATGTGTTGAAAAAATTGTTAAGATTTGTTTGACCTGGTTTGTACACAATTCCTACATCAAGTGCATATTTTTCAAGATGTATCCACAAGTAGTTATTTCCGCCAGTGTAAGATTCCATATTTTAGTCATGCTTTAGAATATTATGCACAAATAGATGGATACCCCGACACCAGTGACATCCGATCGAATGTTGTAATAGTGCGAATAGTTCGTTATGTTAAAACGCCCCACATCACCTGACAGATGACCTGGATAGGTCATCTGATCCTATCCAGGTCTCAGTCAGTAATATTATATACAGGGTTACTGGTAACTCGACGTATTCCCGCCAAGGCGTGATAGTTGAGGTCATAACCTATCAAATGAACCATAAAATGCATTATGCAAATGTGGACCAATTTCGAGATATTTAGGTTTAATTATTTTTTTCAAAAATCCCAAAAGTCTGAGATAAAAAATAACCGCGTATTCCTCGTTGGAAAATGATTGCCTTGCATGATCTCCGCGTGTTGGTGGTTCCGCCGCCATAAAACTTTGAAACTCAACTTCTTTAAGTGTAACAGGGAGGGATATGCGCGCGTGTGTACGATGCCTGTAATACTGATGACTGATTGAACAGTTTCTTCTTGTTTAACTTGTTTCTAATTTCACACTAAATTTAAACAATAGCGTAAGTTCAAACGCATGATCTTTTACGAGCATTCCCGCAGCTGTTGATAAGGTTCCGAGAAGCAATTGTTTGGGATTACCCAAAACATTGCTACTCGGAACTTGTCTACCTGGCCCCTTTTTTTCAAGTTTTTTCTGTACTATTTAAGTTAAAAGTTAAATTGATACTTCGTTGTGTAGCTAGATAAGTAGGGATGTTTTTAACATGATTTGCACAATTGGTCACATACAATTATTTTTCACAAAATCATTTTTATTTTTAATTACTTATCTTTGTTTGGAAAAAGTTTTACTTTTAGTAGCGTTACTTCGAAAATGATGAGACTTTTTGCACACTGTAGTATTGATAAATAAGTATCCAGGTTTTCATTAAGTAAAAATAATAAAATGAAAATAATACAGCTGTAAGTTTTTTTTAGAAATTATTGACACCAGACTTTTGGGATTTTTGAAAAAAAAATATTAAACCTAAATATCTGGAAATTGGTCCACATTTGCATAATGCATTTTATGGTTCATTTGATAGGTTATGACCCCAACTATCATGCCTTGGCGGGAATATGTCGAGTTACCAGTAACTCTATATATGGTTTTATCAAAAGCTTTGATAATGCACCTGAGTTCATTTAAATTTACCTAGTTTGCAAATAATTCTGGCATAAGCATAAAAGAATTTAAGGTTAGATATATTAGAGGTGACGTTTTAGTAACAATCAACTACTTGGTATGTAATATCGGCATACATTAAAAATTATCATAAGTTATTTATTTACTATATATAGATTCTACGTCTTTATCAAAATTTGTTTGTTCGTTAAGTAACAGTAATTTATATTTGTTTTTAAAACCATTAATTGTTGTGAAGCTACGTTAGGGAGGCGGCAGGTTGTACCAATACTTTTTTGCATTGTATTTAAAACTTCCTCTGAATGCAGTAGAGTGAATAAAAGGATATACAAATTTTTTCAAAAGATCTTTGGCCCAGTCAAGCTTATCGTAAAAATATAATGGTTCTTTGTTTTTTACCATACCGAACAAATGAATGGTAAATTGTAGTCGCCTGCGGAAGTCCATTTTTAAAATATTGGCTTTGTTATAGAACGTTGTTACGTGATAACGTAGTGGTATGTTAAAGCAAAAGCGCGCGCAGGCGTTTTGCATCAGTTATATAATTTAATGATTTCTTAAATTTACGCGAACACTACACATTGAATAAAACTAAATTTACGGATTCTATCGCGTTTATTTCACTGATTTTACTTATTTTTAATTCCCAACGTATCGAATGCTTTACAGCACCGATGGTCACGGGGGGGACTGAGATGTTTGACGTCCCAACGTCATTGTTAGCCCGGCTACCTTCAGTTTTTGAATATTAATTTTTGGTCCAATTTACGCAAAAGGAACTTACAGTATCTTGAAGTCTTGCAGTGGTATGCTTGGGTTTCGGTTTAATTTTGTTAATTATAGGATCCCAAGCAGATGGCAGCACCCAACCATCTTCTCTATTGAAATTAGGATGTTTTTTAATTTCAATAGCTTCACGTATCATCCTTGGTAGGAATCGGTGTTCTTTTGCGAGGATTTGTGGTTTATCAAATCTGATGTAATGGTGGGGACGATCTTGAACATGTTCACAGACTGCAGACTTCCCGCAGTGTCGGTGCTTCACGTCAGCTACATGTTCTTTCACGCGGGTTTTTATGGATCTTTTTGTTTGACATATGTAAGAGAGACCACATTCACAATCTAACTTGTACACTCCTGCATCTTGTAGAGGGATATTACACTTGACGGATGGTAAAAATTTACTAATTTTCTTCGGCGGCTTGTAGTATGTTTTAATGGAAGCTCGCTTCAAGATGTAGCCAACCTTGTCTGTGACTCCTCTTACATATGGTAGTACAGCAGGCACACGCTCGACTGTGGCCGGCTTCACTCGGTCACTGTGACGTAGGCGCGGGATCCGAAGCTTGTTGTATTGCAACAATTGCTTGACATGCTGAAGCTCGGCGGCCAGATGTTTTCTGTCACAGATCCCTCGTGCTCTCTGAAACAAAGATTTACCCATGGTAGCTAACTGTGAGGGATGATGATGAGATTCACTATTTAAATATCGGTTGGTATGGGTCATTTTTCTATACACAGTGTGACCAATAGTGTTATCAGGATTTCGAATGACTAAAACATCTAGGAAAGCTAAAGAATTATTTGCCTCTAACTCCATTGTGAATTGTATTTTAGAGTTTATGGAGTTAAGGTAGTCTAAAAATGCAGTTACTTTGTCAGATGGTAAAATTTTGAAAGTGTCGTCTACGTATCGCTTGTAGAATCTTGGATTTACAGGAGCAGTAAGAAGGGCTTTCTCCTCGAAGTCCTCCATGAATATGTCGGCGACTATGGGAGATACAGGTGAGCGCATCGCCACACCATCTACTTGCTTGTAGAACTCTTCCTTCCACAATAGATAGCCAGATGTGAGGCAATGTTTGAGTAATACTGCATATTCAGCAGGCATGTTGTTATCTTCTAGGTTCCTAGTTACAATTGAGATGCAGTCTTCAATAGGTAGGCATGTAAATAGTGACTGAACATCAAAACTGACCATGATTTCATTGTAAGCGAGATGTAGGTCTTTTATCTCACTAACAAAATGGTATGAATCCTTTGTGTGCGCTCTGGTATGTCCTCTCAGTGGTGACAGTATTTTTGCCAAGTGTTGTGCCAGCTTATAAGTTGTTAAATCGATCTGGCTCACTATAGGACGTAGTGGAGCATTTGGTTTGTGTACTTTCGGTAACCCGTACAACCTCGGTGGCTTGGTACATGATGGTATTAGCGAATTCACGTCAAGATTTAATTTTTCGGAGTATTTCTTTATTAAATCGCTAGGTGATTTAAGCGTGTTAGTTGTGGGGTCTGTTTTGACCTTTTTATATTTAGTTTCGTCCGATAAAAGCTGTAGTATTTTAAAACTATACTCTGACGTGTCCATTATTCACCGTAGCGTTTCCTTTATCCGCGCGGAGAATCGTTAGCTCTGGTCTGTTCCGTAAGTTAATCAAAGCTGTAAATTCGTCTTTAGGAAGGTTTGGTTTCGGCACTGCACTACGACGTAACAAGGACGAAATATCTTGACGTACAGCCTCCAAATCTTCCTTACCGATATTATTCTTAAACAGACAATCCTCAACATTGCATATAATTTCTTCGTACGGGATTTTTTGCGATGTTAATGCGAAGTTCGTTCCCTTCGCTAATACCTTTATTGTCGGTTCGTCCAGTGTATGTTTTGACAGATTATAGACCGTGCGTTTGTTTGTTGTTTACGTCTGTGGTCAACGGTTGTGTTTCATTCTGACGTTGACTTAGATGGTTGGCATTTGATTTGATCGTTAATTTTTGTTATTTTTCTATTTGTTTATTTTTGCATTCATTGTATTTTGATGTTTCTCGTTTGTTTAAAATTTTGATGCAATTATTAAAATCAAATTTCGTTAAAACTGTCTTTAGTTCACTGGACAAATTGTCTATGGTGTAGTTTATGAAATGTAAATCGAACCGTTTCTGCTGAATCACCGTTCGTAACAACTTATATCTTAGCGATTCCTCGAATGTCCTTTTTTGTTGATATTTTGACACACGTAGGAATTAGATTATGGTCTCTGCATCTCTTCAAGAAATTTAAAGATGTTATATATCTTGCACGCTTGGTTTTAAGATCTTCTAATCGGCGAATTTTATTTGCTATTACCAGTCCGTACTGGTTCACATAATGATTTCTTAAATAAACGCGATAGAATACGTAAATTTCGTTTTATTCAGTTATATAATTTGGCTAGTATGAGCTAGAAGTCGCGGTC